CTCCTTGGAGACAAGGATTCTGAAGCTTTGTCTGACATACTTTGGACATGTTACAAGGTGAGATCAGTCCTTGGAGAGGGACGTCATGCTTGGGAGGGTGGAGGGACAGCACAAGAGTGGAAGACCCTTGATGAGAAGGATTGATTCAGTGACTGGGGAATGGGAGTAGGCAAATCAGAGACAATTAAGATTGGTACAGGATAGAGCAGGCTCGCTATGAGTCGCAGAAGACTCGACAGCACATAACAACAACAACATATTGTATATACCGTACCTGTTACACAATATATATAGTTGTTTTTATGTACTGTCGAATCAGAACTGATTCATAGCTGACCCTCCAGTGAGTTTTCAGAGGTTGTAAATCACATGGGAGGGTACTACCCATCTAACCTTTGGGTTGGCAGTGCAATTCCTTGCCATCACTAGTTGTTAAGTGCTGTCAAGCCATAGAGAACTCATAGCAACCCTATGAATGAAAGACCTGAACACTTGCATAACTTTCATCGTTTCTCCATGTTCATAGAGTTTCCCGGAGGCAAGCTATTTTAGAAGTGGATGCCACTCCTGCTTCTAATCTTGTTTTAATCAGGAAGCTCCACCAAACATTGTTCACCATGGGTAACCATTATTGCATTTGACACATCAGTGGTCAGTGTCACAGTGTTTAGCATCACAGCAACCATGAGTTACCTCTGTACAGCAAATGGACAGACTAATGCCATACATTTAAAAAAAATGATGAAAGGCCACTAGAGCTCATAGTATGTTGTTGTTTTGTGCTGTTGAGTTGCCTGTGACCTTATGTACAGCGACCCTGTGTACAGCAATTCTGAACCCTACCCTGTCCTGAGCACATCTCACTAATTCTGAAACACCAACCCCCACTGCCCCAGTCACTCACTGTATCAATCCATCTCATCTGGGGTCTTCCTCTCCTGTTCCTCTCCAAAGACTAGTCTCTCCTGGCCACATGCCCAAATTAAGTGAGACAGAGCCTCAAAATGCTAGCCTACAAGGAGAAACTTGGTTTCATTCTCTCCAGTACAGACCTATTTATTTTTTTGGAGGTCCATGGTATGTTCAAGACTTTTCTTTAGCACCACAATTCGAAGGCATCAACTCTTCTCCTATCACCCTTAGTCACTGTCCAACTCTCTAAAGCATAACAAGTAATTGTGAAGACCACAGCCTGGATTAGGTGTACCTTAGTCTCTAGACTGACATAATTGCTTTTCAGTACTCTGGAGAGTACATATAGTGTTATTAGTATTGCCTGGATACACAATTGACCCTTTTTAAAAAAAAACCTAGTGTCTGTAAAATCTATCTCTTTGATTCCTGATTGAGAATATCAGCCCATCTAGGTAAGTATTTTCAAAGAACCAATTATATCTGGTGGCCTAGTGGTAAGGATTTGTGCTGCCAATGCAAAGGCAGGTGGTTTGAATTCACCAGCTGCTCCATGGAAGAAAACTGGGCAATCATCTCTCATGTGATTTACTGCTTCTGAAAACCCACAGGAGGGTCAGCACTTCCAGCTCTACAACAACAACATACATATTTGTTGTAAAAACATATACATGTATTTTGCCAATTCAATATTATTCAAACATATAGTTTACTGACAGAAATGACATTAATCATGTTCCGTGACCATCAACCACTGACCGCTTATTAATCACCATAAACAGAAGCCCACTGGTTCAAAACTATGTCTCCCTCCTCTGAACTTACCTATCTTATTCTTTAGGGAGCTCTGGTGGCCTAGTGGTAAGAAGCTGCCCTGCAATCCCTAAGGCATGAGCTTCAAACCCACCAGCTGCTCAGCAGAAAAAGGACGTGCACTCCCTTCCCATGTGATTTACTCCCTCTGACAATCTGGTAGAGAGTCAGCTGTGGGTTGATTCCGACTCAGCTGCCCACGACAGCTATTCTTCTCTTCCCCTAAACTCTCTTTTGATTCAAGTCAGTGAGATTGCTGCTTACTTCCCTTGTTAGGAGCCCGTGTGCTGCTGACTAGAAACTTACTCAGCTCTTCCTTTATTCCCCAAAGTGATGTCTCATTCTCATTTTCTGCACGCCTCTAGTGTACTGTGCAACCTTTGAGATCCAGACGTGATGGGATTGTCTTACTTTCTGGTTTTCTCACATTTTCCACATTACACAACTGTAGTCTGAGCACTTTTCTGTTACTCTCTATCACTGGAAAATACCTGAATTTTAATTCTCTGACAAATCTCTGCTTTACGTGGGTTCTGGCTTTCATAGGTTTTAACTGTATTTTATCCAGTGTTTACTACTGCCTGCAGGAGAACTGCTTCAATAGGAGCTACCTGGTCATTGCTATAAGTAGAACTCAAACAGAATCATACACGGGAATCCATAAAACAGACAGAAGGAAGCACCCAAAGTTTTGGCTGGACAACTCTTTAAACACCCCGTTAATCCTGAGCCCTGGTAAAGATCTTTGTTTGGTGAAGCCCCCTTTGACAAACAACAGTCAGTGTCTCACCTGAGAAAAATACTCTTCTGAGATGCGAGCCGCCCACTCGATGCAGAGCTCTAAGGACCGACAGGGGTTGGACACGTCCGCACACTTGATCAGCATTCGTTTGATCAGAATGCGGTTCTCTGGTGTCCTGAGCATAGTGTTTATTGCTTCTTGATCTTTATCAGTTTCCTAAAACATGAACGGGAGTCAAGATAATAAAAATGGGTCTCCTGATGACAAATCCTTTGACCCCTGTGGCTCCTCGAGGACAGAATCCACATGGTAAAGGCCCGATGGGACAGAGTGCCACATGTACTCTGAGCAGTAAGTGTGGCCCTTCCTTTTACAAGGGGGGAACCAGAGCCCCATGAGTGTCCAGGAGCTCCAGGAGTGGGCGGTGGGCTGCTGTATCCCCCCACTCCTCTCATGGCTGCTCTCCAAATCTTCAGCATAGTTTTTCTTTATGTTCTACTTCAAAGATTAATTTTATCAAGTACTGTATTTAATAAGCGTGTGAGCTGAAGACATCAATTATCCCTTTATCCTGACAAAAGGGCCTCTGTGGCCACCAGGTTCCCTACTTCTCACAATCCAGTGGCTGACGCACGCCGTGTGGCAGCCACGATCCTGAGAAGGAGTCTTCGGTGTACCAAGATATGTCAGACACAGTGATGCTTCTTTTTTTTCTGCCTTAATAGTGCACAAGAACTAATGGTGTTTGAGCTATACTCACAAGACTTTGGTAGACATGATCAGCATTATTATTATTATATTTTACAGATGAGGACCCTAGAACTCAAAGTCATTTATCCAAAGCTACTCAGCTGAGTTAGAATAAGAACTTAAGTTCCACCTTTAGTCCTGGATTGTTTCCACTCACAACACCACATGCTATGTGCGTCACAAACAGCCTCCTTAGATATAAACCTATACTAAAGGGGATGAAAGAGGGAGCCCTGGGACAGAGAGCAAACACAGTCTTTCATTCAGATTCCACACTCGTCAAGCAGTCATGTGATGTGCACGAATTAGGCGGCAATCCAGGAAGGCCTAATGGGCTCATCTCCGTGGGGACAGATGTGATGTTAGTGTATGCAGGTGGCATCCTAAGGCTGCCTGGCCTCCACACCAGGAAGCTGACAAACTGGTAGACCAGGGAAACCTGAAGGAAGTGGGGTCCTTAGCAGATCTGAACATGAGGTTAAACAGGAGTAAGTACAGGGGGAACTAGGCTAAATATTCAGAATAAGGAAAGGACATGGCTGAAAATGTGAGATGCTGAAGGAAAGAAAATGTAATGAAATGTCAAAGAATTGGATCCAGCATGACGGGTAAGTCATCCTGTCTGCATGCCAAAGGCTCTCAGAATGGTGACAGGAGCTGGAGAAGGCTGTTGATTATAGGGTGGACAGGAGGCCAGGTGTGTGGGTCTCAAAGGGAGAAAGTTCAGGAGAGAACAAATTCTCTAAGTTTCTGAAATCATAATTGTTATGTGCTGTGAAGTCGACCACAACTCATATAGCGACCCTGTGAATAACAGCTCTGAACCCTGCCCTATGCTGCTCCAGTCTCATCATGTGCAATACACCCGTCTCCATTACCACAGTCACTGTGTCAATCCATCTCATCCAGGGTTTTCCTCTCAAGTGCTGACTATACCCTTCCACGAATGATGTCCAAGGACTGGTTCCTCCTGGCAACAGGCCCATAATTCTTCTTTCCAAGGGGCAACCTGGTTTCACCCTCTCCAAGACAGACATTATTTTTCTCCTGGCGGCCCATGATATGTTAAATACTCTTCTCCAGCACCACAACTCAAAGGCATCAATTCTGCTATCATCTTTAGTCACTCTTTATGATGCTCTATGATGCAATAACTGCATATCTTGATCTCCAGACTAACATCACTGACTTTGAGCACTCCTGAGAGGCCCCTGACAGCAGACTTTCCCAAGTGCAACTCGTCTTTTGATTTCCGGACTGCTGGTGCCAAGAGTGTTGATGTGGATCCGAGCAAGCTAAAATTGTTAACAATCTCAATCTCTTCTCCATCCATCATGATGAAATGTTGCCATTGTTGTCAAGGAGCACTCCGGCTGCAAGGCACCATCTCCGAGACGTATCTGTCTGTTCTTTTGTCAATCCATGGGATACTCAGTACTGTTCTCTAATACCACAGTTCAAAGGCATCAGTAAATCTTCTGTAATTCAATGTCCAACTCTTATATGGATAGCCAAGTAATTGAAAAGACCATAGCTTGAACTAGACACACCTTACCCTTCAAACCGACATCACTGCTCCTCAACAATTTGAACAGGTCCCAGACTTTCAAAGTGCAATACATTTCCCGAGCTCATGAATGCTGGTATCAAGGGTGTTGATTGTGGATCCAAGTAAGATGAAGCTGCTGAGCGTTTCAATCTTTTTTCCATCTATCATAATGTTGACTACTGGTCCTGTGGTTAAAAATTTTTTTCTTGATGTTGAGATGTAATCTGTATTGAAGGCTGTAGCTGGTGATCTTCAGCAAGTGCTTCAAGCCCTCACTTACATCAAGCAAGGCTGTGTCATCTGAACAACACAGGTTACTGATACGTCTCCTCCAATCTTT